TACATAGAGCACAGAACCAGTCTACATTTGTCCAGTGATATAAAGGTTTCTCGAATTCTGGAGCATTGAGTCACATTTTGAGTTTGGGCAATTCTGGAATATGTATCCAGATTTCCAAATCCCTCAAATAATATGTACTCCTAACCACATCAAGGTTAATGTTAAGTATTTTTTCTGAAAGTTAAAACTGTAAATTCCTTGAAATTTGAGCCAAAGTACATACCTGTCCTTAAAAGTTGATTTTTTTCTGTGACTCTGTAATAGCTTCATATTTGAAATTATGATCCTTGTTTTTCAATGTCTCAACACACTTGGCTGGTTTCAAATTGCTGAAGCTGAGTCAAGTGCAGAATTTTAAGTACTTGCCTAGTACCATTCCCCGCAGAACATCTCCAGGGTCTTCGGAATGCACAAGCACAGGTCCTTCTGCACCATTTATTCTTCACTGAACCCTCATCCCAGCTCACTCCAAGCTCCCACAGACAGATCAGTCTCAGACTGCACCTGCTACCATTCCAACAGATTCTTTACCCTACCTCTTTCCTCTTTATCCTTGCAATTCTGGAAAAGGATGATGCCAGTATCTTCAGAAATATTGACTTCCATTACTACTTTAGTCATGCATCTCTTCTCTCGATAGGGAGGCCTGCCCCTTGGTCCTATTTTCTCTCCCTGAAAGCAGCTCCTGCAGCTGTTTCTCCTTGAACCTAGAACATACACATCCTTGTGTCTGTCTATATCTCATAAGGCTATCATTTTATCATCATCATCCTTTTCATCATCTATCATTTATTGATGACCGTATGTCAGGCACTGGGCTAAGAACTTTGTTATTATTCTATTTAATCCTCAAAATAGTATTACAAAGTAAAGAATATTTCTGCCCTTGCAAGCTAACCTTCAAAACCTGCCTCCTGGGATGGGTTGTCTAATTTTACTTTTTTTTTTTACTTTGTCCATTCCTCTTTCTTTACTATGGTATGCTTTCTGTATTCATATCCATCTTCTAAAACCATTCCTACAAAGTATCTCCTGATAAAACTGACCCCTCTCCCCAAATACACTCTCCTATCCCCACAGATCCTTGGACCATTGCACACTCCAATAACCCTTTCCTCCTTGACGGCTGCTTCATAAATCCACACAAGGTTTATTTATAGACCCTTTCTTCTATGCTGACTCTGTTGGGGTGTTAATATACTTCACTGGTTTAATTCCCATGGAGGATATTTGAACTGTCACTCAGGCCTGAGTGCTATTTCAAATTTCTCTTCAACCCAATAAGACACCATTTTCCAAAGGTTGTACACAAATATATTTAGTATTCCTATGTTTATGTACATGAATTTTAGGAAAACATGTAAATTGTCCATCAAGTTTTGGATTCCATGAATATTACTGCTTAGGAATTATTTAGGATTTTTAAATGATTGGTCGAAGAATGCTCTGGCTGGTGTGGCTCAGTTGGTTGGAGCATCATTCCATACTCCAAAAGGTTGTGGGTTTGATTCTCAGTCAGGGCACATACCTAGGTTGTGGGTTCAATTCCCAGTCAAGCACATTCGGGAAACAGCCAATCGATGTTTCTCTCTCACATCAAAGTTTCTCTCTCTCTCTCTCTTTCTCCCCCTTCCTGTCCCTCTAAAAGCAATAAAAAATATGTCCTCAGATGAGGATTAAAGAAAAGATTCATCAAAGGGATTGTAAGTAAATAAGATTATACATAGAGAATAAGAATTGTGGTAGTAATATTCAAATTATGAAAACTGTTATAGACACCTTGTTATGTTGCCAAAAAGGAAACAGCCCTCCAAATTCCTAATTTTATTTCCCTCTTTCTCTGAATTCTTTCTAGTCTCTAAATTCTTTTACCTTACTTATTATACCCAGTGATATCCTCTAACTTCTTAGTCATTGAAATAATCCATATCTCCCTATCTTCTTCATTCTTTCTGTTTGTCTCCAAGTTTCACCAGACCTTCTGCAATCACATTTTTAATCCTAGAGACAAAACCCTACTTAATAAGTTATTCAACCACCTGCCTAACCTGTCATGCAGCAAAAGTTCTCCTAGAGCCATTTTAAATATATGCCCAGGAAAAGCAAAAATTTGTAGCTGCATATACAACTATTGTTCTCTCTCTGATTTCTGGTGCCACAGAAATTGGGAGAAGGCCTTTTACAGAGAGGCTTAGTAGCTAGGGAGCTAAATTTGCAGGATTAGGCTGTCTCAAACTTCTGACAGTAATATCATAACAAGCCAGGCTGTGGCTCTTTCCCAAATGCACACCTTCAGCTAGTTTGCCAGTGCCTGCCTCCATCACACCTGTTGTGCGCATCCGTCTCCTGAGTGACCTCTCGCCACCACCATCATCCTCCACCATCACTTCTAAGAAGCTTAGCCTGATACCTCCCCTTACTAGTTCCTCCACACCCGTGCCTCTGCCAAACCTGGTCATGGCATCCTATGGAACTCTTACCTCATTGGCTGTCCACTTTTCTAATTGTTTTCTCTATCTCATAATGATTTCTTTACCTGACATCATCTTTCCCACAGTTCTCAGAGAAGGATGCTTCTACCTGTAGTCTGTTCCAACTTTCTCCACCTCCCTATCTACAGCTTCTGACCACAATTTGGTTCCACAGCTACTCAGCAAACTGCACTGAACTATACCCTATCCACTAATACCATGAATTTCAGATTTTTACTAATCTTTCAGTATGTCTCATCCTCCTCAATGTTATTTGAACCTAGCTGAGTTTTCCTTTTTATCTTATTAAAAGCCAGCGCCTTTGATAACTTTAAAGTCTGGCATCCAGGACTTCTCTCATTCATCTTAACTCTTCCGTTACATGGCATAGCTGACTTCAATCCAAGCCTCCTTCAATCCAAGCCCTCCTTTCATGACACTCATTTTTCCAATTCTTCCTTTTTCACTGCCAATTCTTCCTTTTTCACTGTAATCACTGCTTCTCTGTCTCCTTCTCTAGTTCATCTTTCTGCTGTGTTCCCTAAATTAACGTGTCCTCTATGAATGTTCTTATTTCTGTTTTATCTTTGCAGTTGAGAAATCTCATCTACTCCAAAAAAAAACCTAACCTGATAAAACTCCACACTGATAATTCTGACACATTTACAAAGCTCAATGGTCGTTCTCATCTGCTTGGTGAGCAGTTCTATCTATATGGATTTTTGGCATCTCAATATAAAATTAATTTCTCTTCCCTCCCCCCATTTCTCTATTTCTGTTAAAGGTACATTTTCCCATTATACAAGTTCAAAAACTGCTTCTTCTTTTCTTTCCCTGGACATATTTATTAATTCTTGTCAATTATTTTCTGGTTTTACCACTCAACTCACCTGTTTTCTTCTACTGCAAGGTGAATCTTATAATTCCTATAAGGTGAATATCATCATCTTCATTTTACAAGTCCAAGTTTGGAGGTGAAGTATTTTTTCCAGTGTCATAAATTCAGCAAATGACAGTGGGACAGGATTCAAATTCAGATCAATCTTAGGCAAGAGGCTGGGCTTTTTCCTCTCATCAAACTGTTTCTTGACAATAAGAATAACATCAAATATGTGTAACTAGGCATGAGTGTTTCTATGTTTTAAAATTCTTTTCTGTAAAAGCCTGTATTAATTAATTGAGTCCTTATTTCAAAAAATCAATCCTACACACCTACATTACAGACGCAAATTAGAGTGAGGTTGGTTGGACACTGTCAACTCTGGAACATTGACTTCATCCCCCTCCCAGCTCCACATTCCAGTGGTATAAACTCTGGCAGGTTGCCCAACTGCTCTGTGCCTTGCCTTCCTTATCTGTGATAGTAGTGGTTTCCTCCTGCAGTTGTTGTGAGGCCTGCATTAAATCTAGGCCTTACAAATATTTGGCAAATACTAAGTGCTCAAATATGCAACACAGATTATATGTTTAACTGGCTTTGGGTGAGCAGATAATATAGTGAGCTGCATCTTCCAGGACTTTCATAGGTGAAAGGTACCTACTGGGACGGGAAAAGGTCTGGAACAGATGCACAGATATGGGAAATCCAAGTGCAAGAAGTAGACAACACTGTCATCAACACCAATATTAGACTCAAATATATGGTATTTAGGTCTGTTTTTTTTTTCATTGTACAAAGCCAAGCATACAATTCATTTTAACAAACATCTATCAATTGTATCCTAAGTGCTGTATAAACTGATTAATAAACCGATTAACACCCAATATCTGACCGAATTCTATAACTTGAGCATCCAATCTCCAAAGTACTTGCAAATAAATAGATCTAATTCAAATGAACCTAGTCACATGTGTACATGAAAAGCAAACTAATTTTATAACATAAATGCTTCTGAAACCCATGCTTTATCCCATTTTCCTCAAGTCTGAATCCTGACGTTATCTCATCATCTGTACCCAAGTTGGATAACTATTCTCTCCTTTTCAATGCCACTCACCTTCAGTCAGCCTCACATTCTACTGCCCATCTTATAGCCATTTTTCTTCTTACCCATCTACATAAATTCACTTTCCATTCCTTTCTGAGCCAGCATTTTTCCCATTTCCCTTTCTGTTAGATGTGCCTACCAACTCTGATTTGTCAACTCCTTTCTTCTCTTCACAGCCCCTGCTTGGTTTTATTCAACCTTTTTATTCTTAACCATTCACAAACAATGCCTCCTATGTGACCTACTCTAAAATAATTTACCCAATCTGACTTCTCAAAAGAATCTGAATATTTCTCATCCTCCATAAAGTCTTCCAAAATCAAAGCAGGCATTAGATAAAGCTTCTTACTCCTGTTATGAAATTATCTGCGGAGACAATACTCTATCTTAGTCAATGATCATCTAAAGCATTGGCTCTTCACTCACACCTCCCAACTCTGAGGCATGGAGTCACTCTCGGTGGGTAATATTCATTTCTGCCAACTTCTGAGTGGGAGATTGAGGTGTGGACAGGACAGGAAGAAGAGATGGCACAAATATCTGAATACACTGAATATGTCTGTGTATTAGACAAAGTTTCCCCCCAAATATTATCTCTTAAATAACAGGATCATCTCATGTTAAGTATTTGCCAAATATCTTGTTTCATGGGGATGCTCTCTCAATTACTTTATTCTGAACAAAAAACATCACTTGATGGGGATTTGTTAGGCTGAAACGGTCTCAATTAATGCTAGTCTTGGAAGCTTGTAGAAGCTATCTGATATGAGCAGCTTTTAAAAAAGAAAACAATGCCATAGATTTAGTCATTATTGTTGGATGTTTGACAGTTTTGCATGTTGGGTATCATGAAATGAGACCTTCCAGGTTCGCTCCAATGGTTCTCTTCTGGGGACCACGGGGAAGTTTTCTTAAAATCCTAATATTATGCAATGGGTGCAAGTGGCTGGGATACAATTTGAAAAAGAATATTACAAACTCAGATTCAAAACTAAATAGAAGTTTTGGCAACAGACTCTAAAGGACTGTATTAGGTGATTCAAAAAAATAGCTCTAGTGAAGATGAAGTTTCTGCCGCATCTTGACTATCTCCAAGATTACTGTGAAGGGCTCAAACAAAAAGTATGTCAGATGTGAACTCAAAAAATGGGTTCTAAATTAATATATCAGTATATATAAGATGGGATTGCAAGTATATTTGTATGAGATTAGATTAGTAAATTAAAGAGCATTGATAAAAATTTAACTTATTAATATCCATTATGCTTTCCCTATTTAAGGTAACCAAAAGGTTTACTTGGGGATTATCATGAGAAAAATAGTGTCTCATCACATATTGGGGTTGGCTTTCCATTTGGGCATTCATGGGGTGCATGAATGCATATAATGTGGGTATAGGTAAGTTTGGATGAACAGATAAGTGATTGAGGGTCTGGCTCAGGATAAAAGACTGGTAATACACTTTCTTACTAGCTTCCAGCAACACCAGAAGCTAACCTGTACTGGGAAAGACTGGGACACTGTGATTCAGAGAACGAAAATGAATTCACTTTGGTTCACTTTGTTCTATTCCCAGAACCGCACACACTCGCTGAATATTATTCACAGTTAGGATGTGCCATGAGGCTGTTTACTGCCTCATCTTTCTAATTTGTTACATAACACAAAAGAATGGACTCTGAAAAACACAAACAGTGGAAAAATAAATGTTCAGTGTAGTAAAATCATGTGCGATACATATTTAACCCCATCAATAAGTACACTGCATTTGCTGAAGCCCACTGTTGGGCTTTTTCCTAGCTAAAAAGCCTTTTTTGTTGTTGGGCAATTTCAATGTATAGTCATTTTGAACTGTTGCCAGCTCAAATTCTTGCATTAGGCTCATGGCTGTCTGTTCCACCAAGACGAATACGAACCGGCCCAACCCTTCACTTGAGCGCATTGTTCGTGGTGCTGAGCAGTGATTTTCCATATCTGCCTGTCTTTGCGTTCACCCCGGGGGAAGGGTGAGCCTGGTTTATTGAGTTCTCATTTCTCACGGAGCAGCAACATCTGGAGGGCCGAGCAGCTTGTTGGCAGGTCCAGCCCGAAGGAATTCAGCCGTGGTTCCGATTGGCTCTTATCAGTAGGTGTCACTAAAGACAGCTTCAGAGACAGAAAAATAAATAGGCCAATTAAGCAATGCCAAGAACAGGCGGTTTTATAGCCATATTATTATTCCAACTGCAGAAGTTTCAAGATTCAAATTATTCTCTGGCTTATATTTTTCCCTGCTGCAAATGAACATTTTCCCAGGTTCCAAATGCCTTGCTTTAGAGTTAGAGAGTGGGACATTTAATTAATAAATGTATTTTTGTGGTGCCTTATGTAGTAGTGGGTTAGCAAAGTGAAAACAGATGAAGGAGATCAACTCTAACACTTCATTGCAATGAAGCTACAGCGGCATGTTCATCTGCACACGGGCTAATGAAGGCTTCGGCAGCCCCTTTCTCTCTGCAGTATGAGACACTTGGCACAGGATGGAGACACACATCACGTCGCAGCCGTGACCCTGTGTCCCCAGAGGATGCAAGTATGGGAACCCCCATGCGGGACCACACATTTCTGAGGACGTCAGAGGGGAACGCCCAGGCCTCTTTCTAGAGAGGGACCATATTATTTACAATCACCACCATGCTCACAGGCTACATTCTTAGGTGACCAAGGCTTCCCCACTTACAAAGATATAAGCCCACTGGAGAACTCTGATTTGATCTTCAAATCCAAGCAACAACATACATAGAGAGAACACTTTCCCTGATATTCTGAATAAGCAGATACCTTATGTATATTTATCTGAGAAAAAAACAGTTGGTAACCATTTAAAGCATGGATTTTGTTTGCAAAACTGGCAGTACTAGCGCATGGACCCCAGTGCCAGCACAATGTCTAGCTCCTGATACATTTCCAGGCAATGCTGAGCAAACGAGTGAGACATCTGCTAACTCAGAATATCAGTAAAGTGTTCTGGGAGGATCACACATACAGACTCTGCAACCCATTAGGTATGCTAAATATGCATGCATTTCTGGTACAGGCGTCCCTTCTTTCCAGTTTCAGGAATGTTCCAACTACTCAGGTAGGTAGATCCTTAGGGTTGAAGACAAAACCAATGACTTTTAATTCCAAATTACTTACAATTACAAATACAGAGATAAGTAATAATTAATAATAACAAGAACCACAGCTGTCACTGGGTTCTGTAAATTATTTCATGCAATTTCACCACAACCTATGAGACTGAAGTGACTATCTTTAACCAGGGCCTAACCTCACTAAGTTGTTTGTTTAAGGGGACACAGAAAGTTAAAGGGCTAAGTTTAAAACAGGTTTGTCTGACTCTAAACTATTCTTTCAACCAAGTAGTTTACAAACTTTCTTCTAACATGGAACTACTATTGATAAATAGTAATAAAGAGGACAGAGGGCATTTTGGGGGAGGAGAAAGAAAAGGAGAATAATCTACACTGTGGGATGGGTCCCTGGGATTTTGGTGCTGAGGAAAAAAGGCATTGCTTGTTTCCATGGCTGAGAATTATTTATACTCACAGCACAGTCATCTAACTTCCAGGCTCAATAGTGAATAACTAGTGGCCCCAATATTCACCATAAACATTTGTCCCCAGAATCTTTCTGCAATTTTAGACTCTAAAGTCCAAGTTATATGATGTCATTTTCATTTATTGGGTATAATTACTAAATTATAATGGCCATAAATCCACATTCTTGTATTCTCCAAGTTATATGATGTCATTTTCATTTATTGGGTATAATTACTAAATTATAAAGGCTATAAATCCACATTCTTATATTCTCCAAAAAAAACACAGTTCTGTGAATTGAAAATTACACACCAGAACTCAGAACCCACTGGCCCAAGATTCTCCCACCTGCATGGTTGCTCTGCATAGAACCCACAGAGGCCTCTGCAGTAAGAATGTCAAAAGCCAGTCTCACACTCCTATTTCAGATGTAAAGTTTCCAAATCTAAAGGAACATGTGTGCAGCTTTTCAAAATACTGATGAAGGTATTGCTTACACATTTTAACAGATTTCATTTTTCGTAAACTAATGAAATACTTAGTTTTTTAATGAGATTGTTTTTCCAGAAATATTTTATCATCTACCAAGGCATAGCATGTCCACAACAGACACACATATACCGTCACATTTCAAAGAATGTCACTGATCTGTTTTCTCAGTTGAAGAATATCCTTGTGGAATTGTATTTGTAACAGGCTTATGCTCAGAAATCTATCTTTAGAGTTAATACTCACTACATTTAAGAGTCATTCTGCTGGCAAGTGAACAAAGAACATTTAGTGGGTGGTTATTATCCTTTTTGTCAAGATCAGTAATGTGTTTTATCCAGATGAACCCAAATGTAGGAAAAGTATATTAGTCCATCAGTAATAACACAACAATGTACAACAAGATTTGGTAGTATCCCTGATCCCTGAAGATTCATTTACAAAACCCAAAGCCATGAATATTGAAGACCTATTAAGAACGACCAGAGAGGAGAGGGGAGGTAATTTCAGGGGAAATAGGGGAGGGATTTAGATGAACAAGTATAAAGGACACATGGACAACGACTAAGAGGGGTGGAAATGGGAGGGAGGTGGGGAGCATGGGGCGGGGTGGGCTGGAATGGGAGTAATAGACAGAAAACTGTACTTGAAAAATAATTAAATAAAAATAAAAAAAGAAGACTAAGACATGGTCTTACACTGTAAAAAAAGATGAAAATAACAGTATTTTTGTCTTCTTGTTTGGCACACAATTAATATAAAAGGCAAGATAAGTGTCATGAAAGATTTGCCTTTGAAGGAATGAAAGATGGGGATCAGGGAAGGGTTTTTTTTTTTCAATAAAAAAGTTGCATTTGAGATGGACCTTAGGATATGCCGAAGTCATTGTTAAAAAGTCAATAAAATGGAACAGCACTTGGTTTAGAATTTGGCCCGTGGATTGTAAATCTGGGATCTCACCACAGCAGTTGCCACAGTAGCCACAGAAGCTAGTCAGTCACAGGAGACAGGGTATAGATAAGACAACCTCGTATGGCAAGTGGGCCAACCACTGGGGGATGGCGACAGAGCACGGAAAGAAAACACGTATGTGCTTTGGGGTCGCACAGACCTAGATTCAAACCCAGAGCCCATCTTTTAATAGCCATGAGAACTTCAAGAGTCTTTTAGGACAATTAAATGAGATGTATATATAAAGCAATGAGCACAATGCCTGCTACAAAGTAAGTCCCATAAATATGAGTTAATTTTATTTTATTTTATTTTACTAAATTTATTGAGGTGACATTGGTCCATAAGGTCATATAGGTTTTGAGTGTACATTTCCATAATACATTATCTGCATTTTGCATTGTGTGCCCACCAAAGTTATCCTTTAAATATGAAGGAGAAATAAAGACTTTTCTAGAAGCTGAGGGAATTCATTACCAAATAACCTTCATTGCAGGAAATATTCGAAGAGGTTATTCTACCCAAAACAAAGAAAAAATAAAACACTGAAAAATGAGTTAATTTTAAAAGTATTTCTAGTACTACTACCCATTCCTTCTGATTATTTTTCTATTAGACTAAAATGTATATTTTCAGAAATTCAATTTCCAAAATGGTAGGTATTCTTACTTTAATATCTACAGAAAAAAAATACCTGGTTTTTAAAAAATTAATAAAAAAATCAATGCTTGTTCAGGAAGGCCTTTAATTACCAATCAACTATAATCATCTCAAAAGGCATCGTCTCAAATGACTCCTGAGGAATGGCAAGGCTCGTGGTTTGACTTTCCAGGAGACCACCCTCTGTCACAATTCTCTACATGTAGTAATTAAAATAAGATGCATTCCTGAGTAGTCACACAAAAAGAAGGAATCTACACGAAGCTGCAAAGCTGTACCAGTCTTCTCTCTCACCAGTCACATAACCTGAACAGCACGGATTATCACTGCTCACCCACCACATGTTTAACTGGCCCTGAACACATATGCAAAGAGCTTCTTTAAGTGACTGACACTTGAAACTCACCTACAAGAGTAGTTTGTCCCCATTAATAAATCCTTGTTGATTGTACGTGGACTCATGATTGTGCTAGACATCAAGACATCCTCCAATGAAAGAAAACTAAGAGAATTTGTCACCAACACAGCTAACCTAACTAATGATGGAAGAAAGTTCTCTATACAGAAAGAAAATAATAAAAATAGGAGCTTTGGAACTCTAATAAAGAAGAACACAGTAAGAAAATATATAGATAAATAGACTTCTTTCTTCTTGAGTTTTCTAAATTATGTTTGATGATGTAATCAAAGTTATAGCACTGGCAGATGTGATTCTAAACTTATAGAGGAAATATTTAAGAGAATCACATTATAAATAATTATAGAGTAGACCCATGTAAAGAGAGATAATGCTTTTATACTTTATCCAAACTTGTAAAATGTCAACAGCCATAAACTGTAATGATAAATTATATAAGATATACATGTGATATAAGATATACATATCAAATTATGTATATCGTTCATAAACTATATAAGCTATAACTTTAGAGGCTTTAAAACTTTTAGAAAAAAATCAGAAAGAAGTCTTCAGAACACAGGCTATGCAAAGAGTTCTTACACTTGACACAAAAAGCATAATCCATGAAAGGAAAAAGTAGACAAAATGGACCTTATCAAAAATAGAAACCTTTGTTCTGCTTGAGATCCTGTTAAAAGAATGAAGAGACAATCTACAATTGGGAAGAAATATTTGTGGATCACATATCCAACAAAGGATTAGTAGCTAGAAAATGTTTAAAAAAAACAACTGTCAAAACTCAACAGTGAAAAAAATTTTAATTATAAAATGGACAAAAGACATTAACAGGCATTTCATTGACAAGAACATACAGATGGCAAATAAGCACATGAAGCTGAAAAGCTGTTGAGATTCATTAGTCATTAGGGAAATACAAATTAAACAACAATGAGATGTCAATACACTTCTATCACAATGGCTGAAATAAAAAATACTGACAATACCAAATGCAGACAAACTGTATAACATGTTATTCCTGACAAGAATGAACAATGGTACAGCCA